AACAGACTAATTCCCCGCCCCGCCCCACCCTACCCTTCCAGTATCGATGTTGTTCGTATTTACGTTGACTTAAGCTTATCGCTTTTTATTACATCTGTTTCTTTTGTAGAATGATATGAATATCAGAAGTTCAACTAAAGACTGTGCTTTCATTCAAGTCTGTTGCACTCGCGAGCTCATCCTATATAAAGTGTTTTTGATTTTTATTTATCAATAATTTATGTTCGTTTTAACTGGGGAATTCAGAACATAATGAACATTACAATCATAACCTCGCAGTCAGGTTCCTAGCTGCAGATCTGTAGCGTTATGCTTTTACATATATGTGTATTTGACCATAACGCTACAGATCCCGTAAAAAAGGTGCTATTTACTCGCAATAGTTTTGCACACTTTGGGGGAGAATTTCTCCACTTTCATCAAGATCAAGCATTGGTCAATCAACTACCTTTCACATCCTAAGTAATTCTAGACACATCCTGTAGCCAATAAGTATATTTTATCCACCTCCCAACAATTTATAGACGCTTAAAGTGAATTTACAGCAATCTAACAAATTTAATTCAGCGAGATTATCACTTATAGAGAAGGATATAGAGATAACGAACAGTGTTCAATCTCAAAGTCCATTAAACAATATACAAAATAAGAGCAGAGCAGAGACGACTATAAAGGGTTCGATTCGGAGATGGATAAAATATTCATTTCAGCTAAATAATTTGCCTAGAATTAGGAAGTGAAAGGTAGTTGATTGAATGATGCTGGAAAGTGGAGAAATTCTCCCCAAAAGTGCGCTAAAAATATTGCGCCATAGATTGCACTGTTTTTGCATTACGGGATCTGTAGCGTTATGGTTAAAGACAAATATATAAAACCATAAAGCTACAGATCTGTAGCTATCAGTTCCAGTCCTGCAGATTTTACTTTGCAGTGCTGCATCTGTTACAAACTTATACTGTTTGTCGATCATTGCCTCGCACTGTAATGCTTGTGATGCATCAAAGCATTTTTGCTGGCCCTTTACGTGAGCATCACTAAGGAGGAGGAACCCCATTGCAGTCACCATTCCTAGACAGCTTCGACTTTCCATGGATGTGTTCTGCAGGGCTAAATTAAATTTCCAGTTAATACTGAAATGCTTTGTTACAGATAAGTTTAATTGATTAATTATATGTTGGGCCAGAGAATCAGACTTAAATACTAATAGCCAGGGTTTCAGAAACATTAAAATAAAGATTATTCGCAACTATAATCGGGTTTTTCCGACATGTTAAAAACGACAAATTTGTTATGTAATCATACCCTTTGATTAAAATTGAAATACATTATAAGTAATGGCTCCAAAGTTGTTCAAAACTTTATTGAATGTAAGGATAGATCATAAAGTTATACCTAAGAATGGACACTCAAAGTTATGTATCTAAATTGTTAATAAGGAGGAAGCACGGCTACATTTTGCAATGTTTAATTAATCCTATGGCGTTAATACTTTCGAGGTGTTCTTTCGAGCTTGCTTGGAAGGCCGAGAAGACGATGTATACATGTATAAAGAACTTTATTCGGTAATAATCAATATTTGCCCTTGACGGAGAAATATTTTATTACGTTCTTAAACAGGGGGATATATGCTGACTTCAAAACACCTGATTATTTCATAAGCAATGGCGTCATATGTTTGAAATGACGTCACGAAAATGACGTAACTTTAAAATTTCCATGATTTCTACAGAAAAATGTATATTTTACGTCGATATTTTGAGTTAAAATCACCGAGCGCAGGTCTGATCAGGCTTCATATTAATTTTAAGATAATGTGAAGAATGATTATATCAATAAAACGTGTAAATATTGTTCCTGAGCAAACTTGTGCTCTATAAATTTAAAGCTAAAATTGGTGAAATTTTGTCTATTTTGTCCTCTTTATAAAAAATGATATAAAATCGGACTAGTTTGTGACGTCATAAAAACAAAAATTATTAAACTGCTTTGAAACTATAATATGTTAGGTTAATTCATATTTCCAATACAAGTTATAGAATTTAGCATATTTCAAGAATTTTTCAAAATTTGACTTTTGTGGGGGCAAAGATATGCAGTATAAAGCATATAGTTATTTCTCTACCAAAATCTCCAAAGAGTCATTATTTTAGGTGGATATGTAGAGGTTGCAGGTGTTTAGGATTATCGTGTTACTTTTCACAGGCAAAAGGGTCATTTTCAACGCTGAGTAACGACCTGGCTTCATGTTTTTCGACGTTGACAGCTGACTGTGGCCGAGAGTCATTTTTATTTGGGGGTCATTTTTGTCTTAATAACGGCATTTTAATTTTTTTAAATAAAAAAAAGAATATTTCAAGTTTAAATTCTTTAAAACTCTTCTTTATAATCAATTACTGAAAATAAACGACAGATACATGTATGTCTTTAATGAATTCATGAAAATTAAAAAACATTTAAATATATGTAGCAATTATGAAAAAAAAGACACGATTTATATATATATATATATATATATATATATATATATATATATATATATATATATATATATATATATATATATATATATATATATATATATATATATATATATATATATATCCTAAACGATGTTTACTGTTATTAATCACGTTTGTTACAACGCACTTTGAAAAATTACGCACTTTGAAAAATTTTTTCAAAGTGCGTTAAATTTTGGGACCAAGTCAACGCACTTTGAAAAAATAAAATTTCTTTTCAAAGTGCGTTAATAAGGACCATATTAACGCACTTTGAAAAACTGTGTATTGATTTGTCAATATTCCTGCAAATCTTAGGTATGATAAATAATTGAACCTGTTTGATAAGTCTTCTGTGAAGAGGTCACATCAGAATGTGAAAGTGAGCGATTTTGATTTTTCCATACTTAGAAAATTCTTTCTCGCTTAAATGCTTTACTGTACCAAATTTTTTTTCAAGTTTGCATGCATTTTATGTAAACTTAAAGGATGAGGTGACTTGCGGCCCCTCGTATAATGACAAAAAAATTAAATGTCTAAATTTTACTCAAATTTTAGTATGTAACTCATCACTGATAAGTGTACCTTTATAGAATACTATTTTTAACAAAAATAGAAACGTGATTTGAAAGATATAGGTCTTTTATTGGGGTAGGGGTATCATGTTTACATTCAATTCCCATTGCATTTTAACCCCGCCCCACTCTTTGAAGCCCTTAAAATATACGAGCGCATGTAGGTACAATTTTCTCCTTTGACTGGTCACTGTATTTTATTGAAATCCACCTATATGTGAAAGGACAAAATTGTACCTAACTGCGCTCACATGCTATTTTTTAAAAAATTGTAAAATCTAGGTGGCCTTTCCCATTATAAACAGATCGACGGAACTAGATTTTCTGACGTAAGAATGAATTCATATGCTAATCGAGGCACAGGCGATACTTTCTAATTGACCAATCAGCTAAAAGAAATTCGTTACGAGTGAAGACCACAAAAATACTATGGAAACATGCTTGGAATTTTACTGCTTTCCGATATCTATTTATGCATTTGAGTCACAGATTAGACACGGATCTACATATATACCATTTCCGAAACCACAGCAAAATTTATATACAGTTACAAACAACTGAAAGAATTCATGATATGGTTTTGTAGCGTGTTTGGTGAGCAATTCGCTAGGTCTACACGTATTCCCGAGTATCGGTGAATACAAGTTTCATGTGCATTTCTTGTTCTAAAAACCGTAAATGCTGAGGACCGGAAAATCCATGCGTATTATTAAGTATAAACAGCATTGGCTGACCATTATAAAAGTTTGAAATATAGAAAAGGATAACTGGTAAATTGACCTTAACCACGTGTGTGCGATAAAATGTAAACGTAGTAAACCAGCATGTTTTGTTGTTCTGTCATCGGATTGGACAATGACTAAGTGCGAAATAATAACAATAGCCATATAAGGTGTTCTCGGACACGCATGTCCCTCTATTGTACTAAGACCCGCCCATTCTTTTGCCATAAAAGAAAATATTCGCACAAACCTGGCCGAACTTAGCTGTGATAGGGTCTAAAAAATCAAAGATAATGCAGTATTTCTTGTAATTAGAATGTGCCTGAACAATTGAAACTATTCAAAAGGTGTCGTTTTTATTCACTCATGTTTGAAAACTACCAGCATCGTTGTAGATTAAATATAATACGTCGTGGAAAAAGGGACCCCAGATAGCAGTTATGTCACCTCATCCTTTATTGAAAGTTTTCAACGTCATACCAGTTATGTAAACACATATATTTGGGTGTAGCATAGGCATCAGTACCGGAAAGGGGGGTTACATGTAGGCACATAAATATTTTGCAAAGATATACATAATATATACATGTATGCATTAAATATTGGGGCTTACCTGTGGGGTCAACTTTCAATTTGCTACCGACGGCTATGTACAATGTTTAAGAAAAAAAGAGTTGGGATGAGAGACCTTCTACTCGTCTTCTCCTTGTTCTCAATGAGGTTAAATGAGTTCATGTAAATTTAAAAAAGTTTTTCGAAAGATATAATTATTACAATTTGATTTCCTCTATTACTAAAATCTAAGTCTAGAATTTTTATTTTCATTCATATCTTTTTTTCAAAGTGCGTTAAATGCCTCCATGGTAAAAAATTATTATGTGCATTCTTAACGCACTTTGAAAAAATTTTTCAAAGTGCGTTGAGTGTGTCCAAAATTTAACGCACTTTGAAAAATTTTACGCACTTTGAAAAAAAATTTTCAAAGTGCGTTGCCACACACGTTCTTTCTTCAAGAATTCTCTGCTAATTTAAAGCAAATCTTACTACTATCTACTGTCTGCATTTGAAAAATGCACGAATAATATTTTGGAAGTTTTTAGTAACGAATTGTAAGACCGTTGCAGGCTGCGATAAGTTGGTGTCTATTTCCGCGTAATATTTATTTCCGTGTGAATTGCAATATGTTCCTTTTATCGTGGGCAGCATTCCAGATAGAAAACTATATAATGCTTTCTCTCTGTTTATTCCCGAACATTAATATCAACTGACAAGGTAAGTATAAAAAAAAATAATGTGAAACATACTTCTACACTTTAAATACTCCTAGTATAGGCCTTAAGGCCATATGTAAGTTTGAACTTTAGGTCATAGTATTACGTAGTTTACACTTCATTGGGTTCTTCCCTGGAGTTGAAGAGTTCCACTAAACGAAGGATATGTGTGCAATATATTTTTTCTAAGCCTATATATGGATTTGTACACCTCTTCTAAAACAATTTTTGGTGAAAGAAAATCTGGAATTCATGTTTTGTAATTTTTATACATTTTTCTTTGATAAATACAAAATTTCAATTTTCTAAGTTCTGCAAATTATAATAATAGCTGTTGAAGCCGCTTCTTTAAAACCTTAAGCTTCTGGACATTTTTTAAAGTTTTTTAAAATGTCATTTTCAATGACAAATTAAGTCATGAATACAGGGGGGGGGGGGTATATTCGACAAAGGAAATTTTTTCAATATTACCTACAGTCTCTCAGAAAGCTGTAATTTGTATGTTTATGGCCTCTTTTTTAAAAAATATCAAATTTAATATAGGTATTTACTTTTCTTATGAATTCAAATTGAAAATACCCTATTTTCTACATAATTCTGCTAATTACGAGCTGTAAAGTACAGGAAAAGAAAATTGAAAGTGAATATGACGTCATAATGAATCCATACGCGGATCTAGAGGGGGGTCGGGGGGGGGGGTCAAGACCCCCCCATGGAATTTACAAGGTTAAAAAATGTACTAAAGCAAGAAGACCCCCTTGGAAAACGCTGTACACCCTTGGTAAACGGGAATACGTGTGAAATCGGTAAGGAAAGTGAAGGAATTTGGGCAAAGAAGTCATGGACTACCCCCCCCCCCACCCTCAACCCCCCACGAAATAGGTTTTTGACGTTTGGGCGAGTTTAGGTTTTTTTTTTTTTGCTTGTCGAGAAATTTCTTTGACAGGGGTGGACCCCCCCCCCCCCAAAAAATTTCTGGATCCCCGCCTGGGATCTGGCAACAAAAAATAAGTTCAAAGTCATTTACTAGTTCTTATAACATTACGGGGGCCGTCTGGGGTTTTATCGTGTGAAAACTACAATAGCGAAACTCTTTATTTTTATACCATATACAATAAGTTACATTAACTTAAGTGTACATGTAAAGTTTGGGCGAAATCTACCGTCCAGGTATTTTTAAGGGACCGTCTCAAAATATAGGTACATTAACTATAGGATTATGAAGGAAAATGTCAATTTTAAGCACTTTAAAGCAAATTAGATAAATACTACTGTAAAAATAGACTTTTTGTTCAAACTGTAATATATGATGATTGAGTAATACTATATTGTACATTATGTGTAAGAAAAACAAAATTCTACCGTTTTGTTACCAGAGGGGGCATCTCAAAAGGCCAAAAATTAACGAAATTCCGTTTTTATAGAGCATAACATAATATGGCTGGCACAAACGTATTATACGAAATATTAAAAGTATGATGGAGAGATTCTCAAATTTTCATAGCGTACGTTTACTTTTTATCAAATAACATTTTCATTACTCTTTATTTACGAGCTTCAGTTTATGATAACGTCAAAAACACACTATATAACGACGTCAACCTACCTATCAGTTGCAAAATTGGTTAAAAATTACGTTATATAATTACATTTTTGAACCTATAATTTCTTATTTGTTTAATTTTATTAATCAAGTGAAAAGAGTTGCTTTAAAACAGTAAATACGCTTCATTTTAAGATGGTACAGTCGGCCCCCTTAAACGTTTTTTTTGCAAGATGGTTACTCTGTGAATTTTATATGGACTGGTTAAAACATTTTTTCAACATAATTTCAGGATTCACAAAGAATGCAGATCTCTTACAAGTTCCTCCTCCTCGGCATCATCTTAATTGTTGCGCCGTTGTCAAATATCAACGCAGAGTTCAGCAGTGACCTTCGTATAATTATAACTGTCACAAACGATATAAGCCATGGGAAATTTTTAAATGTTGTGAAAAATGTGGCAAAGGATGTTGCCCCCTTTTTTAATATATTCTCCTCCGTTGTAAAACTGATATTTGGCATTTCTTCAACTCCGACCGATTCTCTTGAGCTCAAACTTTTACGAAACCTTTCCGACACAATAAACAGAAGATTTGACCAGGTAGACGCCGAATTTTCTGATGTCACTCGATTGATCCACTGGACAACTTCGCAGACTGTTTATTCAGATCTGGAGGCCAAGATCCATGTTGTTTCCGAACAATTTACTCGAATATTTCAGGTACCACAGTCAGGATATAACGAACAAAAGAATTTATTTCTCCACAGCTATGAGACTGATTATCTTGATAGTGGTTCCAAATTGTTTGCAGCGTTTATGTTCGATAATGGCTTAATTAGTAAAGGTTTGATAAGACCAGCAATGAAGTACACGGAAAATGATAGAGGCAAGATGAGAACATTCATGATTGGCATATTGAAATTGCTTCTTGTTTCGGCAAAACTAGAAATAGGATACCTGACTCTGAAAGGATATGACAACGTTATTCCATTCTATACTCAGCAATGGAACAATCGAATTGGACAGGTTCAAAATAAAATGCAAATGGTTGATTTAGAATTAGAAAACATATATTACAGCCAATCACTCCAGGACATTGATAGATTTACACTTGACAATGTGAATGTTGACTATGCAAATTTTAATATTTACATTTCCAATGTCTTTGTCCGAGATAAAATTAACATTTGTAAATGTAATTGATTTCCTCATGAATGTTTTGGCGCGGTTCCAAAAAAAACCACGTGCAGGGCGGAACAACACCTAGAGAGAAGCAGGCTTGGAGCCCGTGGATTGGCGGAATCAAAGCATGTAAATATAAGGAATAACTGTCAGATTTTTCAAATTCATGAAGATGATCAATGGATTGGCTTGTGTGATAATTTTATGCATAAACGCCTTCGGCGTTTATGCAAATTATCACACAAGCCAATCCATTGATCACTTCATGAATTCGAAAAATAAGACAGTTATTCCTTAAGTCAGCGTTTGTACGATAAACTTTCAACGAAATATTTCTGGCGGGATTGGCTTGTCATAGTACACGAACATGCACGCGGTGTATATTCACACTCCCATGTCTGCAAAGGAATAATGAAAACAGCTCACGGAAAGGATATCGTGATTGATAGCGTCCAAAAAGATAAACCATATTTAAATATTACCGTTGCTGAACTCCTATACAAGTCTTTACAGAAAACGTGCCAAAACACAGCAGAATACATTCCATGTGCACAGGTAGATCATTGTTCGTACCCTTACTACAGTTGTGGTGGCTCCAGTACTTGTTATGATTACCTAACCGGGAGCAGACCATGTCGAAGAATAAAACGCTGTGGAAGTTATGAGAATTCTAAAAATGCAGACACTATCTACAGTTGGTTCAGTGCAAACGCCGTATCTTGTTCTGCATTTTCTTCTTTGGGAATCATGCCGATTGGTCAAAGAGCATATCATGCAGGCCCTACAGGGACTGGAAATTCATCAAGCCGATTTTTTCTTGGAGATTTAAGTCCATGTAATTACAAAGTACATTTCTTTGACTAAATTATAATAATTTTAATAAAAAAAATAACAACATACAAAGCATTTTCATAATTCAGTTTTCTAATTCCAATTTGCCTCATGATATGTACATGTACAAGGCTATTGAATGACAGTTATAATTTCATGTTATCTCGCTTTAAATAAAAATCACAAGAATAATATGGCAAACCTCTCTTTAGCTCACACTGAGCCGAAGGCTCAAGTGAGCTTTTCTGATCAAAATTCGTCCGCTGTCTGTCGTTGTTGTTAACTTTTCACATTTTCATCTTCTTCTCAAGAACCACTTGGCCAATTTCAAACAAACTTTCCACAAATTATAAAGGGGATTCAAGTTTGTTCAAATGAAGGGCCAAGCCCTAGGCTCTAAGGTGGAGATAATAATGAATTAATGAAAAATTAATGGTATCTTTTTAAAAATTTTCTTCTCCAGAACCATTGGGCTAGGAAAGATGAAACTCGTGTGGATGCACCCACAGGTAGTGTGGATACAAATTTGTTCAAGTCATGACCCCCGGGGAAGGACGGGGCCACAATGGTTGATCTAAGTTTTACATAGAAATATATAGGAAAATCTTTAAAAATCTTCTCCAGAACCACTTGGCCAGGAAAGATAAATCTCACGTGGAAGCATCCACAGGTAGTGTAGATATGTTTGTTCAAATCATGACCCCCGGAGGTGGGATGGGGCCACTTCATAGAATATGGCGGCATGAAGCCTCATAGTTCATGTTCTCATGAATTTTCAAAAACTAAATTCATTTCTGTATTATGAATGCAATTTTGAGTTCAGGTTCATAGTTGGAGAAAACAGAAAGTATGCAAATACTAGATGCTGTCATGAGACAGTAATACCCGCACTAAGGTGTTTGCCTCTAAATGCACACTCCTCTAAAATTGGGCTTTACCAAGGAAAAAGTCAATATAATTCAATAATTTACATAATAGGGCCTCCATGTATTCATCAAATTGAGCATAATATTCTCAAGTGAACATGTGACCCATGGGCCTCGATCTTATAGGTACATGTATTTCATATTCGTAATTCATTACCAGTCTGAAATTAAACAACAGAATTCAATTAATGATGTAAATTAGGTTTGAAACAAGGGGGGGGGGGGGGGTAAATTTTTGGCCCATAATTGTTGGAACTTTTTAAATCTATTTTCTCATATAGATCAACAAAAAATATTATTCAAATTAGTGTAAAGCGTTTTTGATGATTTTTTTCAAAATGTACAAACTTTTTTTATACTTGATTAGGCAGAAACACCTTGAAAGCTGCCATATACCATGTATACCCAATCAATTTAGTCAACCCCCACCCCTCTCCCATCAACACACACACACACACACACACACAAACAAACCATATTTTCCTGTTTTTGGAAATAGGCCTAGATGGCAAAGTTAAGATAAAACATCTTTAATTTGTAAATAATAATTTTGAATTTGTTCTTATACTGTAAATGTATTTGAAGACCTGCATCACATTGGACTAGCGTCACGTACCTAACTTAAGTACTAGTTAAGGTCTTCCGTCTTCACGGAAGACCTTCTAGTGATTCTACTGTTTCTTATTATTATTATTATTTTTATTTTTTTCCCCAAAATTTTGTGCAGGCGATTTCTCGAAAACTGTTCAGTGGTTTTCAATGAAACTTTCAGGAATTATGCGTCATTATATGAAGTTGTGGCATGACAAGGAAAATTTGGAATACTCACCTTCGGTTCCAAGATATTGACAGTTTTCTGATTTCAAAACGGATTTTTGTTCCCCCTTTTTTTCAAAAATGGCTTAAGATTTTAACTGGAGACTTATTAGAGATGATAGATGATCACTTCTAGATTTGCGGAATCACCTTTTTGTGCGTCGTTACTACTTCCGGTTGCTATTGGAAGCGAAATTAAAAAGTCCGTATTTTCTAACTTTTTTGTTTTTCAATATTTTTCATTTATTTTTGGAATGCTAATAGAAACCTTTCTTTTAATGCTTACTGTATCATTTGTTTGAATATTGATAAATTCAAACTCTAGATATTAACATTTAAAAATCTGAAGCGGGTCCAAAATGGCGGCTGTCTCTGTCATTTCCGACATTTCGCAATTCAGGGTTTACGAAGTCAGCCGAGCGTTTGCTTGAATGAAAGTAAAATAGGATAAATGAAATGTAAAGGAATACTTGGATTCTCACGTCGTTGTTACGTTATAATTCTGTGTCAAACTATGGTTTAATCCTTGGTCGTCTGAAACGTCTTCTATAATTGGTTTTGGCTGGTTCTCAAAGTAGAAAAAGAAAAGACTAAATGTGCAAATGAAATACGATACCTAGTATCTTTTGTTTCGGAAAATTAGATTTTAAATCATAGGTATAAGTAATAGTTTTTAAGAAACAATATGGATGTACATAGTAAGTATTAAACGTAACCACTGTTTTGCTCATGCAGACTTGTGTCATATTCAACTAATAGAAAAGAAAAAAAATAAGAAAATCATTTTTCAAAATATCGTTGAATGGAGTTCATATTAACTTTCTTGTCTCAAAGATCTGATTTAAATTATTGAACATAAATGGTATCTGATTCCCTGACTGTAGTAGGCATGCTTTTATCAATATATGTATGTTCTTAGTGGGGATGAACAGGAAATTTAAAAAAAAAAAAAGGTAAAAAGTTTACCAGATTCACTGATTTAGTTTTATTTATCTATATACGATATGGAATGTGTAAGTATGCTAAATATACTTTCTTAACCTTGAAATTTAAGCTATAAGAACATTCTTGTTTCATTTCCATCGAAGCTATCGCACCTATTTCATGGAACATTCCAAAGAAAAAAGCGCGAAGATTTACTCGTGCTGTTTGACACAAAATTATGAATAGTGACCTGCCTTTCATTATTCGAAAACAAATGTACTGTTGCAGAAGTATATACAAGTACATTTAGAGGTTTGGTTCTTATAGAGTAATAGTAAGCGGTTTGGATTTTCATGGTAACGACCCGGGTTCAATGCCCTTTGTTTTCATAACAAATTTTATCACTTTTTTCAGCTCAATTCTGCGGGGTTTTTTTCAGAATCGGACGGAAGACCTCTCGTTGCTTGCAACGAGTTTCTTTTCTAGTTTTACCATTATCATTTTTAGATAGCACTGCACGTGCAGTACTAGGCGTAGTGTTGTGTACACATCATTGCATGTATGTCAGTAGGAATTATTTCGTGTTTTAATTGGATTATATTTCATGAAGTTGGAGCTATGGCAGTCGGTAAGTACACGTTTTGGTATAGATTTGGGTAAAATAGTCTGAAATGCAACTGGTTAGGTTAAAGTTTAAAGGATCAAAGGTCATCCGATGCTGCAATAAGACGAATTTCACATTCTAAAGAGTTATCGCCCGTTATCGACTTTACATTCAGTTACAAGATACAGAATTTTTTTTTCTGGGAGGGAGGGGGGATTTCCAGACCAGAATTTCCTGAGAAGCAAATAAAAGGAGAAGTTATGGTGGTGTCTGTTTTCTAGGATGGAGGGCATCCAAAGTCTTTTTTATATTATAGTCCTGCAAATTGGGGGGGGGGATCTCAAGATACAAAACAGTAATGGCAAATGATCATGTGACTCCTAAATAGTAGGAAACTTTTTCCATTTGACCATACATAATTTTGCGTTTTTTTGTGTTATTATGTTATGTAAATTTAATGGTATAAAGGTTTTGAACCCCCTGGTGGTCATCCCCACTCTCTTAATGATTCTAACTGGAAATGTTCACAATATGACTGCATTAAATGAAATAAAAGTGCATCAATGATAAGATTGCTTGACATTTCATTCATCAACCTATCCTCCTAGAATTAGGAATGAAAATCATTCAAAGAGATGGACCACATTAAAGTATTTGTATATAGGCTATTAACATATTTTTTTTAAAATGTAAAACAAGCAGTAGTTTGCATACATGTCATGAATAAATAGGGGTCTGGGATGGGGTGAGGGGAAGGATCGAGTTCCTGTCTCTTTACGTCTTAATGGTTGAAAACTCCTAAAATGAATGTTGACCTCAAATCTGACTTGTCCTCATTATTTTTCAAGTGGTGATGTCTCCATTTGAGTTAAAAATTCCTGAGAGGGATGTTTAACAACAAACAAACAATTAAATGACATAGAAACACAATACTGATTTGCGTTAAGAAATATGCAGGGGATTTTTTCCATCATAAATCTTCTTCTCAAGAACAGCAAGGGCATTATTATCCCCCGTTTTCACTTTTGGGGGAAAGGGAGGGAACATTAAATCTTATTTGTCTGTCAGTCTGGCCATCCTTGACAGTATGTGCATCTGTCACAATAAATTTAACCTTGATCATAACTTTTGAATAATATGAGATAGGGCTTTCATATTTCACATGTACATTACCACAAAACTTTCTAAATGTACTATGATTTTTTAACCCAAGTGAGACCTTGACCTTAAAATTTTACCTACTTTCCAAAAAATAACATTTTAAATTAAAGCCATATATGGCGTATGTACAATGAAAATTATTAGACTAAAATTATAAAAACTTATTATTTGCATCATTACTTTACATAAAGATAGAAATTTTCCGTAAATAACAAAATCTAAGTCAATTGCTTTATAAAGATATCACAATTTAATTTGGATTCTCGGAATTTTCTCCGACTCGGAAGAAAATACAAAAGATTTAAATAACACATTACACAGAAGATAAAATCGTATAATTATTTGAAACGAGTTCAAATTTCCGTGTTCAAAATTGTATGAAAAGTTTTAATTTAAATGTATTAACTATATTTCTTTACTTAATTCTGTATTTTTTAAAATTATATTTTTTGATCAGTTACGCCATATATGGCTTTAATCATTTTGAAAGAGAAAAGATATGGCATTTAAATTATACATGTATATTACATGTGAAAAGACTTTTCTAAATATATCATGACTTTTGACTCTGTGATCTTGACCTAGAAGTTTAACCTACTTTTCAAAAATATTATATTATATATTTATATATATATAACTTTTGATTGAAAAGAGATGGGACTTTCATATTTGACATGTACTTTTCCTGCAACAAAATATTTC